AAAAAAAAAAAGAAGTAAAAAGCAGCCACATATGGTGGCACATACCTGTAACCCCAACTACTCAGGACACTGGCAGGAGGATTTCACATTGAAAACCAGGCTGGACAACAGGTTTTTTGTTTTTTAAAGTTTGTGATTTGGCTAAAGTGAGTTAGTAAGCTGCTTCTAAATTATGTATTTGGATAAATGGTTACTCGGGGATTTTTGTTCATTTGGTTTTGGCTTTTTTGTGTGTGTGTTTGTTTTATTTTGGTTTGGGTTTTTTTGCATTGCTGGGGTCAAACCCAGGACTTAGCTCACATGAGGCAATTGCTCTGCTAGTGAATTGTACACCAAGCCATTCATTTACTCTTTCAAACATCAAGTTTGATCGATTCTCTGTTACATATTGGTCACTGTGTTAAGAGAAATAAAAATTATTCTTCAATGGAAATGAAACCCAGTGTTAAAGAACATGATGCCTTCTCTTGATTATCTCCCTTTAAAAGAACTTAGAGATACATACGTGTGTATTAAAAATAACTTATTTTTTCCAGGCGTGGTGTCATACACTTAAAATCTCAAGCACTCAGGAGGAGGCAAAGATGGGTTGATCTCTCTGTCTACAGAGTGAGGCCCTGTCCTTTTTTTTGAAAAAGGGTTTCTCTTTGTAGCCTTGGCTGTCCTGGAACTCTGTATCTATAGACTAGGCTGGGCTGGAACTCAGAGATCAGCCTGCCTCTGCCTCCACAGTGCTGGGACTAAAAAAAGGGTGCACCACCACCACCACCAGGCAGTGAAACCCTTCCTTAAATACTTATTTTCAACTATACATAAGCCTCAAGTTTTAATGTCATTGTACATAGTTGCACTTGTTCATGTTCTTTGTTTTTCTCTTAAAAACAAGTTTTGCTGTCATGTTTGTGCACAGCTGAGTTCTCAAAATCAGTTTCCCACAAGAAACACTTTACCTTGAACATATCTGACTTGGGCTATTAATTAGTGCTATTAATACTCTGAATGGCCGGGCGGCGGTAGCACACGCCTTTAAACCCACCACTCGAGATTCAGAGCCAAGTGGATCTCTGTGAGTTCGAGGCCAGCCTGGTCTACAGAGGGAGTTCCAGGAAAGGCGCAAAGCTACACAGAGAAACCCTGTCTTGAAAAAAAAAAACTCTGTTTACTGTGATTGGGATTTCCTAAAAGATAGAAATATCTAGAATAATTTGAGTTATTCATAAATCTAATTTATTTGTCTTAAAAGTCAAGGTATTGGGAAGTTGGCTTAGGTGTACTGCTTCCTGTGCAAGTATGTGGACCTGAGTTCAGATCCCCAGCATCCATGTAGAAGCTGATCTCAGCAGAGTCTGTAATTCCAGTTCTGGGTGCAGTTAGACAAGCTACTCAAAAAAACTAAGGTGTACACATGGGCATATACCACATACACACAAATGTCAAGGAATGGACATTTGTTGTTTGCTGCTAATTTGGTTTAGTTTTGCTTTCCTTGAGTATTTCAGATAAGATTTAAAAGACAACCTACCAAATTGAATTAAGCATTTGGGGGATGTTGAAGATCATTGAATTAAGTTTGGGGGTTGCGGGGGAGGAGGAGGGATTGGTATTCCTTTAAATCTTAACTCTTCAAAAAACACAACTCTACCCTTTATTGTTAAACACTTATATAGAATGAACTATTTTCATAATACTTACATCTTTCTCTTGTCATAGAAGAACCTTACTCAGTCAAAATGGAACGGTTTGTAGTAACAGCCCCACCTGCCCGAAATCGTTCTAAGACTGCTTTGTATGTGACCCCTCTGGATCGAGTCACTGAATTTGGAGGTGAGCTTCATGAAGATGGAGGGAAACTCTTCTGCACTTCTTGCAATGTGGTTCTGAATCATGTTCGCAAGTCTGCCATCAGTGACCACCTCAAGTCAAAGACTCACACCAAGAGGAAGGCAGAATTTGAAGAGCAAAATGTGAGAAAGAAGCAGAGGCCCCTGACTGCATCTCTCCAGTGCAACAGTACTGCGCAGACAGAGAAAGTCAGTGTCATCCAGGACTTTGTGAAGATGTGCCTGGAAGCCAACATCCCCCTGGAGAAGGCTGATCATCCAGCAGTCCGAGCGTTCCTGTCTCGACATGTGAAGAACGGAGGATCCATACCTAAGTCAGACCAGCTGAGGAGAGCCTATCTGCCTGATGGATATGAGAATGAAAATCAGCTCCTCAACTCACAAGATTGTTGACAAGGCAGTTCTGACCATTGTGATCAAGATAAATAATGTGGAGTATTAAAGTTAATGTGTTGATTGTGTGGTTCATTTTTATATTTATTTCATTAAAATCATGTGATACAGAATAGTTTTGCAATGTGTATATAGTTGCAGGCAAAAGAAAAAAAAAAACCTCACTGCAAAACGTATTGCTAATTTTAGTCACCGATGGTATAAAGCAAAACTTAGCTCTAGAGTGAGTGTATTAGGATATCTGAAACGTGGTGGTTATCTTTAATTAAACCCGATGGCTTTTCTCCTGAAATGTTTGTGCATGGAGGACCTGGCCTGTGCTGTAGCCATGCTGCCATATACAATTATTTCTTGTGAGGTTACTGAATTCTTTGGATTGAGAACGAGCCTAGAAAGTTGAAGCTGCTGCCAGGCTATACCCCTCACAGGAACTTGAAGAAGGTTGAGTTCTTTTCAAAATAGAAGGTGGGAAATGTTCTTAGAGCTTGAGATCTCTAGGAGAAATGACTGTTCAAACTGCGTTTTATTTGTATGTGAAATGATTGCCTAACCTTTACTTCCTCACGGTCTTCTTTGCCTTTTTAAAGATTTGTTCTTTAGTAGCAGCTTCAAGTGACCAAAAGACTAAAATCTCTTAATGTCTTTGCCAAAAGCCATGGGGGATTTTGCAGTGATGAGATTTTCGTCTCGAACTATGAACACAAATTTTTGAACCATAATTTTCATGTTAAATACCATCTTGGATTTGCAAACTTTTTATGTCTTGGTATTAAAAGACTACAGGACTTTTTTTTTCTCATTTAAATACACTGTGGTTCAGTTTCCTCTTTTGACAGGGAATTAGTTCCTTTTTGGCTGACAGCAAATAAGAAAATTGCTTTCTATACATTAATTTTTCCATAAGAGTTTATTTAGGTAAATAGACTAGAAATGAGTTTTAGTTTGACTTTTACTGCTTTGCCTCTGGTGATACAGGTTTTAAAACTTTGATGCTAAACAGTTGTCTAAAAATATGAGGCAAGAATTTTATAGTAGAGATAAGCAGGATGCTGTTTAGCTGTTTGAGTCAGAAAGAATCAGTTCTGTTAAAGGTCAACCATGCTTAGGTTCTCTGAACCTCACTGTTCTTCAAGCTTATTAGAAGGAAGTTAGCTCAGATAAGTCCTCTTCATCAGATCCAAATTATATTTTTTAAAAGTTTAGTAACAGAAGACTTAGTTAGAGCTTTAATATAAAAATAAAAAAATCAAATAGTTGAAAACATTGAAGTTATATTTCTACTGTAAATCAGTGGCAAGATGCCCTGTGTGACTTGGAGTTACCTTTCAGGTCATTGTGCCGCAAATTTCCATTAAACAAAAAGCCAAAGTTAGTAAAAAGTAATATAATTTGTGGGGTTGGTTTTTTTGTTTGTTTTTTGTTTTGGGTTTTTTTTTTTTTTTTTTTTTTTTGAGACAAGGTCTTTCTACATAGACCTGGCTGTCCAGAAACTCACTATGCAGACCAGGCTAACCTTGAACTCACAGAGATCCACCTGCACCTGCCTCTTTCCCTGCTGAGTGTTGGGATTAAAGGCGTGCACCACCACACCCAGCAATAATTTGTGTTTTTAAGAACAGCTTGTCTTAGGGTCCTTTGTAGATTTAACATTCCCAATTCAGGTTGTCAAAGTGACCACTTGTTTCTTCTATTTTAAAAGCCTGCTATGGAAGAGAAAAAAAAATCAGTTCTCAAAATTTGTGGTTTCCATTTTCTCATGTTTGGTTATATTCATGTAGAACATAAATGTCTAGACTAGTTGTTTACTAACTGCAGTTGGTAAAGCACACAGAAATCAGCAAAGTGTAAACAGTGTATTGCTTCCTCAAAGACTTGGCAGGCAACCATTTTTAAATTGTCTAAGATGGTAGGAAATCTAAGCAACTAAAGAAATAATTGAATTTTATACCACTATTTTCCGAATAAAAACAATCATTCTAATTTTTCAGGATTCCATGTGATTTGGACTATTCCCTATTGTCTGGGACTATGCACTATCAGTAAACATGGCAGAACAGCGCCTAGTAATCTAGTAACATGTTTGATGTTGCACTAGGAAAACAATTCACCTTTGCCTTTCTTGCAGTTATAATGACTTCACAGTCACTGAGTTCCTGTAGAACTGCTTTTCCAGGCTTGCAACTATTACATTTTTGCATCTCTAGGGGCATAGTTCATTCTGTTAGGGTTGGATCATGTCCTTAGAATGAGTTTTCCATTCTCTTGGGGAAAGTTAGTATTAATGTTTCTTCACTGATTATGAAAGTTTGTTTCTTGGAACTGGTTAAATTTGTCTCATAAATAATACAAGTGGTTATATAGTAGCCTGCTCAAACTGGTAAAGATTTGCAAAACTATGATTGGCATGTTAGATAACATGAGACCAAGGCATGTGCTACTTGGGAGGCGAAGTGAACGTGTGTACAGAAGCTTTCAATCTTATATAGTGGTAGTATGATGCTATATTATTGGACCAATAGCAGCTTTTTTTCTAAGTTGGATGCATTATTAAAAGCTTTGTAATGTTTCATTTATAAACTGCCTTCAACACATGCTTACCTGTTAATGTTTTCTCAGAGTATCGTAGTATGTCTTCCAGAACCTCACTATATCCTGACAGTAAATAGTCCTAGCTTCTTGAATTTTCTGTTGGTTTCTTTTTCATTATCTGTGGCATATAGCAAGCCTGAAACATATTGTAATCATTTTTTACAGAGTGAGAAATTAGATTGTGTATGACAGCCTATATAGTTATTTTCTCCATTATCTTTGATTAAGGCTTTCTAATATTATTTAGTAAATGCTACTTCCAGTTAATGCCTGTGGCCCTACTGAATTTTAAGGGACCAGAAAACTTTTACAAGTTTTACATCTTACTGTTTAAACAGTTGTGTGTCTGCTTGGGAATGTTCTGAAGGTGAACATACAATTGGCAAGATTTCCAAGCTAAAACTTTGGCCTGAAAGAAGTTGTACATGAATGTTAGCAAATATATAAAAGCAAATTAAATTTAAGGTGACCTAAAACAAAGGCTAGAAACAAGTTTTTGTTTGGTTCTTAGTCTTTGTAAGGGCTTTCTGTGTTTGACTTACCTCAACTGCCACTTAATGAGGACAGATCACCTTAAAATAATTGATGAACATGGAAAGTTAGTCCTATAGTTTCCATAATAGATTGTTTTGGCTTTTGGTCGGCACTGATGAAAATGTGAAGTGGCTATCCTAAACCTTGGATGATCTCAACCCATACTCACAGATCACTGAGGTAACTTACAGTCCTTACCTAGTGCTATTCTACTTGTATCCAGAATACTGTATTAAAATTTTACTATGTTAATTTTCGTCTTCCTGTGCTTATTTTTTACTTTTGCTCATGCCCGTATTTTAGTATAAATGTGTTGCTTTTTAAAAGTTTGTGACATTTAGAAATAAATTTCAAAAGTTTCTAAAGTTTTTGAAAGCATATTCTGTTTTATGAGCCAATGACAAACGTTTCATAATTTCAAGGTTTTGCCTACTGAATTTTGATTTTTCTACCAATCTTTTCTCCTGTTTGTGGTGTTAGCCTTGTTGCCCTGTGTGAAAGCATGTTGTTTTAGGCCAGAGTGACATCATAGCTTCAAATTGCCCTGTTCTCCCAGAATACTATAGGCCATGTTTAAGTTCAGTCAACATCTTAATGGGAACATTTTACGAGTATTATGAAGGGCCTGGGTCATGGCTCTTGTTAAGAGGACTTACACTCTTGTACAGGGTTCCCAGCACTCATACTGATTGGCTTACAACATTCTATAACTCCAGCTGCAGGGGACCTGACACATTCTTTCAGCTTCCTCAGGCACCTGCATGCAAGTACGTGTAAACTCGTACAGACACACATAAAGATATATCTTTAGAAATGTCATGAATGTTAGCCACCGCAGGACTGGTCAATTAAAAAATAATATATGAAAAGGGCCTTGTTTGCATCTTCTATATGTTTTGAAACTCATGAACTAAGACAATAAAGTTATTTTAAATCAATTTTATATGGTTTGTCATAGCTGTCATTGCCTCCACTCACATCTGTGACCAAAAAAAAAAAAACAAAAAACAAAAAACAAAAACAAAAAAAACACGAATGCATTACGGTGTTTAGAGGTTTTTTTGTTGTTTTTGCTTTTTTTTTTTTCTGAAGTCAAGCTGGTAGAAAAGATCTTTAGAAAGCACCCCATACTATTCAGTTTTATGTTAGCAAACTGTCTTCAGGTTTTCTAAAGCTCAGTTTACTAAGAGTAAACCCAACTAGTATGCAATGAGTCTCTTCAATGTTCCTGACATAATATATGGTGACATCAGAGAGATGTCTGCCCTCAGGACTCAAGGACAGTGGCATGCTGCAAAAGGACAGGCCTTTGTTTCCAGGCAACTATAAACATTTCTCATGAGAATTGCTACCAGCCAATTTTTCTTGTCTGGATCCTCAAATACCTGCAGACATGTATGTCTTAGAAATCTGGTATTCCTCTGGGCGGTGGTGGTGCACACTTTTAATCCCTGCATTCAGCAGGCAGAGGCAGGTAGATCTCTGAGTTCAAGCCTGAGCTACAGAGCGAGTCTCAGAACAGCCAGGGCAACTTAGAGAAACCCTGTATCGAAAAAACAAACCAAAAAAGAAAAAGAAAAATCTGGTTTTGTATATAATTTATAGAATACCAATTTCAGATTTAAAAAAAAAATCAAGTAATGGTATTTGCCAGTTGAAATCCTTGCAAAGAACCCACCACAAGAATTTTATTGAGTTGTGCACAAAATACCAAATACCTAATTCATTGTTCAGTATGAAGATAGTCATAAGTGTACATAAGCAAGATAGTCATAAGTGTACATAAGCACATTCTCAATGATTATCATAACCCAAACCTCTGGGTTCGTATGTATATCATAATAAATGCTCCAAAGTTTTTTGTTCAAGCATGAAAGCATTCTATCTTGCATTTTTTCACCTCTTAACCATGCTATTTAATACCTAGTCAGTAAAATAATGATGGGTGCTAAGAGATGGCACAGTGGTTAAAAAACAGTTGCTGCTCTTGCAGAAGACCAGAGTTCAATACCCAGCACCCTAATTAAGTGTCTCAGATCATTCTGTAACTCCAGTTCCCAGAATCCATTGCACTCTTTTGATTACCACAGGCTCTGTATGCACAAGGTGTTGTTGGGAGTTTTTTGGCTCCTTTTGGGGAGCCCACCACCCAGCTCCCAAATAAAGCACACATGGAGGCTTATTCTTATTTATGAATGCCTGGCCTTAGCTTGGCTTAGTTTCTAGACAGCTTTCCTTAATTTATCCCACCTACCTTTTACCTCTGGGCTTTTCTCATTTTAGTACTTCTGTAAATCTTACTCTTACTCCATGACTTGCTGTGTAGCTGGGTGGCTGGCGCCTGATGTCCTCCCGTAGCCATAAGTTTTTCCGGTCCCACCAGGCCCCACAATCCTGTTTCTCCAGTCCTGCCCAGCCCCACGGTCCCACAGCTACTTACAAAATAGTCACACAGAGGCTTAATATTAATTGCAAATTATATGGCCTATGGGTCAGGTTTCTTGCTAGCTAACTCTTATAACTTAACTCAGCCCATTTCTATTAATCTGTATGTTGTCACATGGCTGTGGCATTGCCAGTCTGCTGGCATCTTATTGCTTCTTCGGCAGTGGGCTGGCATCTCCTCAATTCCACCCTTCTTCCTGTCTTCAGTTTGAATGTACTGCCTAACTTTATCCTGCCCTGCCATAGGCCAATGCAGCTTTATTTATCAACCAATCAGAGCAACACATATCACAGCATCCTCCACCTTCTCTGGCTCCTAGATCTTCCTTTCTTCCCTAGCTAGTTCTTTCCCTTTCCTCTCTTCTCTCCCTGTATATATTCTCTCTGCCTGCCAACCCCGCCTATCCTTTCTCTTGCCTTGCTATTGGCCAATTCTTTATCAGACCATCAGGTGTTTTACACAGGCACAGTAACACAGCTTCACAGAGTTAAACAAATGCAACATAAACAAAAGTAACACACCTTAAAATAATATTCCCCAACAACAGGGTGCACAAACAGGAAAGCTGTCACATGCATGAGAATAAAATATAAAAAATAAAGTTTGATAATTTTATATATTCCCTTTTATCTAGTAAATTTCCCCTTTGAATACAAATAGCAAGTGTAAATTATATGTAAAAGGAGATGTGGGGATTGGGGGCGGGGCGGGGGGGGGGTTATGAAACAGAGTGTGCTGCCTAGTCTTATGTCAACTTGACACATAAACTGGAGTTATCTGAAAGGAGAGAACCTCAATTGAGAAAATGCCTCCATAAGATCTTGCTGTAGGGCATCTTCTCAATGAGTAATCAATGGGTGAGGGCCCAGCCCATTTTGGGTGGTGCCATCCCTGGGCTCCTGAATTTGGTTTCTATAAGAAAGCAGACTGAGCAAGCCAGGGGAAGCAATCCAGTAAGCAGCACCCTCCATGGTCTCCCTATCAGCTCCTTCCCACCCACCACCCACCCCCCGATCCTGCCCTGTTTGAGTTCTTGTTCTGACTTCCTTCAATGATAAATAGTACTGTGGAAGTGTAAGCCAAATATATCCTTTCTTCCCCAACTTACTTTTCGTCATGGCGTTTTGTCACAGCAATAGAAACCCTAACAAGACACAGAATCTCGCCACCTAGCCCCATCTGTCCTGGAACTCACTAGGTAGTATAGACCAGTCTAGCCTCAAACTCACAGAGCTCCATTTACCCCTGCCTCTCAAGTGCTGGGAGTAAGGCCATGCTGCCGCCATTTCTGTCTGGCTCATTTTAATGCAATGAAAACCAACAGTAAGTACTCTAAAAGTTCAGCAGTAGAGTGATGGGTAAAATGTATGGCATAGATGTATTGTAAACTACTGAAGTTATCTAAACATTTGGACCAGATTTGTCTATGCTAATTGCTAAGTTTAAAATATATAGTGTATATTTTCTCACCTTTGAAAAGAACAACACTACCTAAGTGTAATATGTTTGTATGAGATGGACGGATACTCATCAGATATAAAAATAACGGGAAATGTAGACATTGGATATGGCAAGAGGAGAATATTTACTTTTTTTAATACACTCCTTTATGATTGACTCATTTACAATAGCATATGTTATCATTACCATACACATAAAATATGAAGTAACTCATTAAAACCAGCTTACATGAAAGTCATATCTAAATGCAAAGAATAACAAGTTGAATAATTCATCCTCCTTATTATGGAAATATTAAACATTGTAAGTATTTAATTCTTTAACTTCCATTTCAGAATGTTAATTGATAAAATATTTGTAAATCTATAAAATTTAACTACACATTTGTAAAGTTAAGTCTTTTTTTACTCAAGTTATTTTTATAGGTAAAGGGGAGTGAAGTTCAAATCTCTGATCTCTATGTCTTTACATTATGATTCCTTTCATAACCAAGAACTTCCAATTTGTTACAGTACGTGTATACATTAGTCCATTATAATTCATGATGCTTCTTACCAACAAATATCGAACCACTGCCAAAGCCCTGGAACATATTTAAAAATCCACCAATTAACAGAAATAAGACAAATGTTACATAATATCATTGGCTAATTCTTTAGAACTCATGACGACAACTTCTATATACTATTTTAATTTTTCCACTTTAGAAAAATACTACAAGATCAGGATTAAAAATGCACATTTGGAGCCGGGCGGTGGTGGCGCACGCCTTTAATCCCAGCACTCGGGAGGCAGAGGCAGGCGGATCTCTGTGAGTTCGAGGCCAGCCTGGTCTACAAAGTGAGTTCCAGGAAAAAGGCGCAAAGCTACACAGAGAAACCCTGTCTTGAAAAACCAAAAAAAAAAAAAAAAAAAAAAAAAAAAACCCCTATTTTAAAAAAAAAAAAAAAAAAAAAAAAAAAAAAAAAAAAAAATGCACATTTGGTATTTAAAGGTTGCTAGCTCAGAACTTAAATCTTTTGAATGTTCTTTTCCTTCTTAGAAATTGCTTAGTATATCCTGGCTTGCTGACGTCATACTTTTTTGTACAAAGCTGAAGACATAAAGTGCAATCTTTCCCTCTACGGCTGGCTCTTTTGTGAATGTGTGCCTACCTGATTCCTTCTCTGTTAAGGCCTCTGTCGATTCCTGATGTTGCTGCTTTGCATAACAAAATATTATCAGTTCACTGTGAGACCCCACACATTGATCATGTCCAGAAGCTTGTCGTTATCAGTCCACATTTTTAAATACACCCAGAACATAAAGCAAAGTTGTCCAATTCAGTCATCATATACTAACAGAACGTGACAGCTAGTGTCTTGACTAACTTGCCTATAAATATGACTTCAGATTCTACATTCCCATACAAGTGAGAATGGCAATAAAACTCTCTACATTACTCTAAGGCTTTTAGCATGAAACTCATTAGATGAGTATTAATGTGTCTGTCATATTGGCTTTTTGTGTTAGCCAGTATTAATGAAGTTAATACTGTAAGTATCTGATCAACTTAATTGCTGTCTCCATAAGCCCGTGTAGAGTATCAATCATCATGCTACATTTAAGAAATAACATTTCTAGATGTGTTTTAAAATTATATCCAGAATAATGGTGTGGTGATATTGTGTTCCCCAATATAGTGTGAACACTAATAAACTTATCTGGGGTCAGAGAACAGAACAGCCACTAGATATAGAGGCCAGAAAATAGTGGCACACACACCTTTAATCCTAGCATTCCAGAGGCAGAGATCCGTCTGGATCTCTGTGAGTTCAAAGCCACACTGGAAACAGCCAGGCATGGTGACACACGCCTTTAATCCCAGGAAGTGATGGCAGAAAGCAGAAAGGTATATAAGGCATGAGGACCAGAAACTAGAGATGTTATGTTAAGCTTTTAGGTTTTTTTTTTTTTTTTTTTTTGTAGTTTTTCGAGACAGGGTTTCTCCGTGTAGCTTTGGAACCTGTCCTGAAACTCACTCTGTAGCCC